AAGTGAGTCGGCCACACCTGGTAGAAAAAAGGTGTTTAGTGGAATATTATTAAAGTAATATATTGATCATGTTCATTAGGTGAATTAAACTGGATGAGTGGTGAGCCGAACCTGTCATAGACCAAGATGTCATCCTTCTCAGCATTTACTGCCTGCCAGACATCCGGCTGACTGAGGTCTTGGGCATAGAGGGTGATATTCATCAGTCTTTCTTTGAGCAAGTGGTGCAGCCGTTGGGACCTTTCATCTCGGTTGTTTACCACCATGTAGTTTATATTTACATAACCTTGGTTCTCTAACTTCAGGAGCAAGTCATTGAGCCTTGAAGAACATTCAAAATGTTGGATTAAATAAATACGCCTTGTGTAAACAGTACACTATCAAGAATGCGACCAGATAACAGTTTGAAAAACAAGGTCTCATCAAAGTTTTGATGTTTTTCTTTGATATGTTTGAATTTTAGTATAAATTGAAAAAGTCTGCACTCACTTTGATGCTTGCTCCAAGCAGAACAGTCAGCTGGCCTGGAGGTAAGCCACCACTGTCACATGTCCAAGAGCGTTCTTCATGGGCTCCTCCTCTCCGACCTTCCACACGGGAGGACATTTACAGCGGGCTCCGTCTGTCTCGCTCTCTGCACTGCAGCCCACCAGTAGGCAGAGAGCCAGTGTAAGGCTCAGTGCCTTCCACATGACTCCAAACAACAGACCCACTAACCTAAACACAAAGAAGTTTGACTCGCATCCATAAAAAAGGCGGCATTCGAATTTTAAAATGCTAATACAATTCCAACCTGACAATCAGCAACAAACATTTTTAATAAATATTTTTATGAATATATTATTAATTCATGAATTTTGTGAATATTGTATTATTTTATATTTTATTCATTGTTATATTAAATGTCACAGTTATATAAAATACATAGTGATATATAATATACTAAAACAATAATATATATATTATATTTTAAATATTTATATATTTATTTCATTCATTATTATATTAAAATGTCAGCTATATAAAATATATACTGAAGTAAAATAATATACTTATAAAACATTTTGTAGTATACATTTTTATTTGTATATATATATATAT